CCTCCCTGGGCAGCCTGCTGCAACGTCTCATCGTTCTTACTGAGAAGAAATTTTTCATAATATCCAATCCAAATGATGATCACAGCAAGAATGTTTGGGCATGTCTCCACATTCCCTGCCCAGTGGTTGCAGAGACTTTAATGTTAAAGCCAGAAGTGCATTCTTAGGATGAATGAACTCCAGAGAATCATTTATGAAGCCAAGTCTCCATTCCCAGGTGGGATGGACCCCTCAAGCATCTTGTTAACAGCCACAGCTGACGCTACGGTGGGGCCTGTAGGAGTGGCATGCCCACTGTTGTCTTAGGTAGGAAGTGAGAGGTAGAAACAATCAGATCAGTAGCTTTGGTCAAAAGGAACGTTTGCTTGGATACACCTTCAATCAGACCTCTAGAATATTCAATATTTGCAATGTTATTAAAATTAATAACTCTCCTCTTGTGCAATTTTGTGGAGACACCAACTTCCCCCATGGAAGAAGCACCTTGCTTCATGCAGGTGTGTTTGTAGGAGCAGAGCCAGGATGAAAAAGAAAACTTACAGATAATGGCCAGCAAGACTCCAGCCTGACACCTTTGGTCTTTGTTAGTGTTTGCCCACAATCTCACAGTGTGTACTGAGCACCCACGGGTGTGAGACCAAGCCTTTTCCTCACAAAAGTCCTGCCAGAGGTTATGAGTTCAATGCATAGCTCACATAAATTTGGCTTTTTTTCTGTGGTTGCATATTTTTAAGGATTTGTACATGTTTTTATGTTATTTTTTTGAAGTGAGTATGCTACATTCACTGCTCTTTCTGTTTCAGAAACAAATCCGAACAGAAGCTTAAACCACCAAATATTTGATCCACTTGCTGATAACACTCCCACAGCTTGCAGTTGCTCATGTCCAAAGCCTGTGGGAAAGTAACAAATACATATAACAAAATGGAGAGAACCAGAATGGTGGCAATTCCTCAACTCTGTGCGCTGACTACAGAACCCAGTCACCTTCCAGTGTATTTTAGATCTTATTTCTTTAGAGGTAAAATCCAAGCTGTAAATAAAATTCAGACAGTGTTTTAAAATGATCTCTCTCTTCTGTTTTTATAAATAAAGGTTGGTTTGAGGTTTTTTTTCTTTCCTCCTTTCTGCTGTTAGGGCAAGATGCCATTTGTTTCGGTAAGGAATAAATAACAAAATTACTGTATAGAGTTATTATACATTATACAGCACACATAGACAAGTCCTCAAGTGAAGCACTTTGAAGTCCAAGTTGCTGATGTCTTGCTGAAGGATCACAGCTGGCCTTTCTGAAGACAAGTGGTGCTACTTGAATCCAGATCTCTGCCAGCTTGGCCAGTTACTATAACAAAATATGGCTCTAGTAATAGAAACTAAGAGCAGATGAGAGAACTGCCTACAAACAAACACTGAATTTCAGTATACAGCCTATACAGTCTATCATTTTTGCTGCTACTGATGACTTGAACAAGTACCCCAGCTCAGAAAAAGTGAAGGATGTGTCTGTGTATTTCTTGGTTCACCAAGGAATCAGTCAAATACAATTCTTTCCATATCAATAAAACTGAATGCAATCCTGCCTATTTGAGGAATATGAAAAATAGTTTTGCTCTGCTGTGCACCAGAAATAAATGTTTCTTCTTTGAAATCAAAAGCAAAAACCTGAATGTGAACAATTCAGAGAAAAGCAAGAGATAAAAGATACAGTTTCAAAAATACTGATATGTCTTAAGAATTGGTAATTGGGTCACACAGAACTTGCATTCATTGGAAAATTCACAACATGGTCTGTGCACTCTTTCAATCCACTTCAGTGTTCTCCACACTCCTTATCCATTTCTAGCAGGGAGAGATCATTTTGCCATCAGTGTCTTTATACACTAATGTGATGAATGGAGGACAGTGGACAGGGAAACAAGCAAACACTCGGTCCGAACAAAAAGTCATCATCAGCTCTTCTTCCCCTCTCAATCCCAAACCCAGAGGTAGTCTGTAATTATCCCACAAGTCTGCAGAGTGAGAACGAATGCGGAAGGAAACAGTCCCACAAGAGGTAACAGTGCATGCATCTCAGGATATCTGAGTTAAATTTTTGGATCTGCCACTTCCATTCTCCCAAAAGTAAGCGTGACCGTTCTCAGGAAAGGTTGCCTCTTTGTGAGTATGAATGCTGAGCACAAAGGGTTCCACTCCTCTGTGGAGGCTTCGAGATACTCTCATCCTTTATCAGGCATTTATTTCATTCATAGAGAGAAAAACGAGTAGGAAATTTAATCCAAGGCAACTATTTACAGTAGCACTCACAATGCTTGGAAGCGGGGTTTGAAAGCACTTGCTAATGATCTCCTGTCACTCTAAAACCAATCTTGAAACAACTATCATTGCCATTTGGATCACTGCACGAAAAGAACAACAAACCTTAAAGTCTCAAATGAGATCAAATCTCAAATGAGACCAAATCTGGATTTCTGTTGCTCGCCAGAGAAATATTTGCATTGTGGGTTTGATCCACACAAGGACCCTTTGGGAGGATTTCAATATTGTACAGTCTTTGTTTTTTAGAGACATAATATTGAAGCTGTTGGCAGTGCAGAATGACACAAATGGACAAACAAAAAGTGAGGAAAAGTGGCAAAGCTGACGGTCTGCGGGAACGTTACTCTGAGAAAAACACTTCCTTAGAGAAGTTTCAACATTTCTTGCAGCTCATCCTACTCGCTCAGCTACTCCTCAAGCAGGTCAGCACTCTCACACAGCTGCAAGGCATCTGCTCATCTTCTTTTTATCTCCAAAGTACCCCAGTCCTTGAGTGAGCGGTGGGTGGGAAGGAGGGGGAGGATGCTGGTCAGAAAGCTAGGGGCACTGCTCCTGCTTTGGGGTGAGGAAGCATGAGGTTTGTGTCTGCTGCTCCTGGGACCCCACCCTGAGGTTTCTCCAAGCAGCAAGGGCAGATGCAGAGCTTCCAGAGACTTCATTGGCACTTGTTACCCAGTCCAGCAGGATACAAGGCCAACAAAATGACATGACTGGTCACGTCATCCAGTGGGAGGATCAGACCCAAACGTCCGATATATAGCAGTGCTCTGTCTGCATGGCTCTACAGTGAGTCCAGTTGTCTTTCAGGTAAATTGTCAGCATACAGCAGGAGAACATCTCCAGGATGAAACTGGCACTGCTGATAGTGCTGGCCATGCTGGCAGTGTTCTGCCATCCTGGTAAGTACCACTGGCTTTAATCAACCTCTAAATGATCTGTACAGCTCTTCACAATGTGAAAACATAATTTACAGTCAAAGGATCATTCTTCCTAATGAAAACATAATTTACAGTCAAAGGATCACTCCTCCTAATTGTTTCTTATTTGCTCTTCAGCTGTTCTTATCGTGCACCTCTATTTTCCATCAGGACTGAGGACTTCTGAGCAAACAAGGCAGAGATGGCACTGCCAGGGGGTCAGGGATGCTGGGCTTCCCACAGAATACAGCACTATGACACACCATGTCCAACTGTCCCCATTACACTGCCTGCACAGTGAAGAGTTCAGAGGCTGGAAGCACTTCAGCAGCAAAATACACCATATGAACATATGCATGTGCATATTTTATTTTTGTGTTCAAGAATAGTTTGTTTCAATGAGATGGGTTAATTTTCATGTTCTCCAGCTTGGCTCGTTTATACTTCTATTTTAGCTGCAGCTTCACCTTGTGAACTCCTCCAGAAAATAGCAGAAAGGTTTCTCTTTGGATCTGTCGATGAATATATGGATGCAGTATCGCCATTCATCACAACACCCGCTATGAATGCGATGGAAAGCAGTTTGAAGAAATGTGTGCAGGCTTCTGTCACAGACAAACAGGCTCTTGCGCTACTGCTGGTGAGTTCCCCCTCCCCACTTGCAAAATATTACATGAGATTCAAAATGCAAGAATGTTAAGTGAAGGAATTTTGTGCTACTTCTAAATCTGACCCCTTTAAGCTTGGTTTGAGGAGGAAATGATGGTGTCATGCACACCCCAGAGGAAAAGCGTATGTGCTGCATAATGAACAAGCACTTTAAACGCCTTGTCTGATGTTGGCCAAATCTGAGACTGCAAAGCTGAGGTCTCAACAGTTGCTCTGTTTCTAGGCGTTTCAGAGGAAATAAACCTTGCAAAGGCTAATGAAAATCTTCAGGGCAGATTCAGAGATTATCCGATACCTGAGGACCCAAGTCAGGACTTCACTGTGAGGAACTGGTTCTGGCTCCCAAGCTTTGGGTCTTTCCCAAAATGGCTATGAGCACACAGACCCCCATGTTGCCCTTTCTTTGGCTAGTGGCAATTTGCTGTGTTTTCCCAGGAAATCCGAATGCTCACCACCAGGAAAGTTCAGCCCACTTCAGCTTCAGTGGACGTTTAAAAGGACACTTCGCTTTACCAATCTTTTCCTAAACACTGTTTGGCTTCTTTTTTTCATTTTAGACTCGGATATTTGGCAACTGCTGAAGACGACACGAATCTGCTATCGTCGAGAAGCCAGCGAGAAACCAAAGCTCGCAGAATGAATGATCGAATCATCGAATGGTCTGGGTTAAAAAGGACCTCCAAGATCATCCAGTTTCAGCCCTCTGCCACGGGCAGGGTCGCAAGATCCGCTGCTATCTGCCTGTCCCCTACTCCCTGAGTACTTTCTTCTCTCTCATCCCGCAGTCACTATAAGGAACCTCCTCTCAATTCACCTTTCAATAAACTCAATGCGATTCAGCCCTTCGTTCCTCCTTCAGCGTTTGCTTTCGGGAAACGATCTAGCCAGACCCCCGTCGTTACAGGGGAGTTGGACCGGGTGACCTTTAAAGGCTGCGGCCACTCGCACAACAACTCCCCGGCCCCGCGCCGCTCGCTCCCGCAGCTCAGGGGCGGTACCGGCCCGCGCTCGCGCTCCGCCTCTGCCCGGCGCAGTGCCGGTCACGTGGTGGCAGGGCGGCTGCCCCCCGGCCGGTCCGGCCAGCGGCGAGCCGCGCTGATGGAGGCGGGAGCTGCCGCCGAGACGGAGCCGCTGCTGCCCTCGCGGAGCTGGAGGGCGGCGGGGGGCGGTGAGTGCGTGGCGGAGGCGGCCTGCCGCCCCGCGCTGCCCCGGCTCAGCGCGGGTTGCTTCCGCCGTCGCGGAGGCTTCCTAGAGTGCCGCGTCTCGCGTCCGGCTTGGGTCGACCTCTGTGTCCTTTATGAGGAGGAGCGGTGCGGTGCGGTGCGGTGCGGTGCGGCTGCTGTCGGCTCTTAGCCCCGCGGCGTGCAGCGAGTCATCCTTTCTTTCTTTCTAACTTTGCAGCCGCCGGAGCTGCCGAGGACCTCCGCATCGACCAGGCCGTGGTGTTTATCGAGGACGCGATACAAGTAAGTCCGACCCGGCTGTGCGACACGGTGCTGTCACCTGGCGCTGCCGTGCTCCGCAAAGCCGGCTCGGAACCCCAGATCCCTGCGGTACCTCAGTTCCAGTGCGCTTCTGCCCAGAAGAAATGTGTTTTGTTTTGTTTTTTTCCAATGCAATTGTGTTGAAATAGCGCCTTCTCTTCCCGTTTGCCCAGCAGGCGCTGACTGTGCTGCTTTGTGGGTGGATGTGCCCTTTTTTTAATTTATTTTAAGCTAGCATCTGGGCAGAACTGTGATTTGCCTCAAAACATGGTTACGGAGCTTCAGAGCTGGCAAACTTTGAGGTTGGTTTCAATGGAGAAGCTGGAACTGTTTGCTCGAGCAGCACTGGCGATGCATGGAAGTCTCCATTCCCCTTGTGTAGAGCTGCAGGTTGAAGCTTCTTATTTTCACAGTTGTGTGCATCATACGGCTTTTTAGAGGGACGAAGCAAAAGATCCGTGAATGGAAGGAGTGCTGGAGAGTGAACCAAGTGTATGGGCCTCTTTGGCAAGCAGGTGGAACCTTAAGTTGTGAGCTGCTCCAGCTGCTGTTACATGTAGCAAGGGCAGTGCTGCCACGTTGGTTATCCAATAACTGAGCGATCTTTAGGTTGAGAAAACCTCAGTAGAATCTTTCCCGTTGCGCCCACATTGGCTGTAGTCAAGGCATAGTCATTGGTGAGTGCTAGTTTAACAATAACTCATGCAGTAATTTCTTTATCTTCTTGTGAAATTGGGTTTGTCTCAAGCCTTGTTGATGAAGGTATGGTTTATTTTTGCAACCTTATTTTTGTCTGTGATGCAGACCATGTGTAATGGTTCAGTGATCTTTTTTTTTGCTTTCTTCCTACAGTATCGATCTATAAATCACCGTGTGGACTCTAAATCCCTGTGGCTGTATCGCTGGTATTATTCAAGAATTTGCCAGTGGTGAGAACTTGTTATTGTTTGTGCTTTTTGGGTCAGGAATAAGTCTTAGTCTTTTTTTCTTCTTTTTTTTTTTAAGAATACTTAAATAATTGTCCTTTTATGCTTTAGAACACACTGTAGGAAGCAAACAATGAGTACATGTAGATGAGATAGGAGTGGAAAGCAGCAAGGTGTACAAAAATGTGGTGAAGAAGAGCATGAGCTTTTTAACAGGGTCTGTTGTGATAGGACAAAGGGAAATGGTTATGAACTACAAGGGGGGAAATTTAGACTGAATGTAAGGAAGTAGTTTTTTTACAATAAAGTTGGTGCAGCACTGGCACACAGGTTGCTCAGAGAGGTGATTGATGCACCATCCCTGGAGATGCTCAGAGTCAGGCAGGACGGGGCTCTGAGCACCCTCATCTATCTGTAGGTGTCCCTGTCTATTGCAGGGAAGTTGGACCAGATAGGCTCTAAGGGTCCCTTCCAACTCATCATTTCACAAAGTCTGTGGCTCTCTGGAACAGTCATAGGACTGCTGCATGATGGATTATTGGTACGATGCCCAGCAGTGTGTGTTAGTTCTCTGAATATCAATTTCTAACCTTATTAAATACTAGCAGGGCTGTTTGTTGTTGTTAGCTTCAAAACCACCCCACCTAGGGCTATATGAATGTCAGCAGTTGCTGTTGTAATGCGTTGTTGTTACTACAACCTTACTGCAGTTCATGTAAATCATGCTATTCAGGTGCTGCATTGCGAGTGCTTTCATTTCTACCCGAGCAGGATTTTGAGCTTCACCATTACCATAATCCTGGCGTTGGCTTTCATTGAAACACCATCCTCACTTACTGTCACATCAGATGTGCGGTACCGCCTTCCTGCGTGGGATCCTCCGTGCGGCCTGACCGAAAGCATCGAGCTGCTGTGCTTCCTGGTCTTCGTGATCGATGTATCTGTGAAGGTGAGCAGCGCTTCCACCTGCCTCTGAGTGAATGGCTTTGGCTTGGCTGCTTGTTTGAGACTGTAGAAGTTGGGCTTTGTAATAAACAGAGCTGTTCTTTGGATCCTTGTTTTGGAATGACTTCGCTGAATGAACTTTTTGCCACGCGTGGCCTGTGTGCCCCTGTCCGTTCCATTGATGTCAGTTAAAGACTTGTAGGAAAATTCTATTATTGGTGCATTCTTTGATTGCCGGGAGCTCTTTATAAAGAGCACAATTGTAAACCTGGGGATACTTGAAAAGCAATCGGTGCAGACTTCATTAGGGTGCTGGAATTTGTTTTAAGTTATTGTGCTGCTTTTTTTTTTTTTTTTTTTCCTCCCCCAGAGTTACTTAATTGGATGGGAAGAATTTTGGAAAAATAAGTGGCTGATGGCTTATATCCTGACGTTAATTATTTCCCTTACTGATTGGGTTGTGTCGCTGAGCTTTTTCTGCACAGAGGTAAGACGTGCTTGCTGCTTTCTGCAGGAACTGTGCAGTGTGTCTGGGCAGTGAGGCAAGGAGGAGAAGCTGCAGAGGGATGCACAGCTGTGTGATGCCTTGGAGAGCTAAGGGGAGGGGTGAGATGGGTCACACTGGATCGAATTTATTGTTGCTCGCTTGCAGTCAGCATTAAGAAAATGCTAATATGATAAAAATACTGAGATGTAGACAGCTTAATTGCTTTTGGGTATGTTAAGGAATATCAGCATCTAAGCCTTGTCAGAGGCAGAAATTGCTGTGTAATAAGCAGACCGTGATATGTTTAAAAACAGCTGAAAACTGAAACCAAACCCTAATTTCAAGATGTGTGTCTATTTTTAATGAAAGCAGCTTGTTATTGATTCACTTCTTGAAACGGATCTTGGCAAAAAATGCAGAAATGCAATCGCTTGACCTGTTTGTCATGTTTACCCAGCAGTAAAGTTAGGTTTCTTTAAAAATGCAAGTTGAAATTTCAATAGCCTCACCAGACCATTAATTATAAACAGTTTTTCTTTTAAAAGGAGGTCTGTAGAGTTTCCTTTAGGCCTTTTTTGACTTTGGTGGGACAGAATTTAGCTTCTGAGAACAGCCTTTTATGCTGCACTGATTTTTTTTTTTTTTTTTTTTTTCTGGTTTATATATGTATATTTAGATCTGTTTTGACAAACATGCACTTAAGACCACAAATACTTCGTGGGAGCTCAGCATCTGATCCACTGTTTTGTTTTGCAGACTGTAAGAATAAGAAGAATTCTTCGTCCTTTCTTTCTCCTTCAGAATTCTTCGATGATGAAGAAAACATTAAAAAGTATCAACAGCACATTGCCTGAAATGGCAAGGTAGGTAACAGCACAGAAAGCATCCCTTCACAGTAAGTCTGTAGCAACCCTTTGGAGTGTGATGCCTCAGTAGCTTTCTTGAAATGGTCTCTGAGATCAAGTAGTGATGGATGGGAAGCTGTAGTAATTCTGTGGCTCCTGTATTCTGTAAGAGTTCTCAAGAATGCATGTGATGTGACAAGGAGGATTTTTTTGATGCTGATCGAGTGGTTTTCTTTTTTTTTTTCCCCTTTTCTTATTCTGTTGAGTCCAGCCCTTTTGTAAGGGAAGAGCTGAGTCATCAGCTGGGCAAAGGGCTGTGCCATATTACTGTAATGTTTCCTCTTGGGGCGGTATGGGTAGGGCACAAAGGTGTCCCTCTCCCGTGAATACCACACAGCAAGGTGCTTTGTGTTCTTTTCAGGATGCTTTACTTCAGGCTTTTCATTTCTAAATGGTTTTAGAAAAACATGCTAGGATCTCTTTGACCTTAAAACTGCCTAAGTTCATGCTAAGGAGTTCTGAAGAAGTGTGATTCTTACCAATCAAAGCTTGGATGGTCTTCTGTTAGCTCCATGTAGTTTATTAAAAAATATCCTTGGGTATTTGTGTATCTCTAGCAAAGGACATGAAGGATGACGTTGATATTAATGCACATGATGTGTTCTTTCCAATAGTGTTGTTCTACTACTCGCTGTTCATCTGTCTCTCTTTACCATGTTTGCCATGCTGCTGTTTGCTCGAACAAAGGTAACCAGCTGTATTGGTGTGTAGATCTCACTGCTTTTCTGCTTACTCGTGTAGCTGCATGTCTGGTTTTCTAATCAAACTGGTGAAACTTGTTTCCCTGGGAGAGACCCACTGGGATGAGTTTGAAGTCTATTTAGAGAGATGTAAGTTGCACAGAATACTTTTTTCTATGGTCCCATACTTCTTGGTGCTGATGCTTTTCTCACAAGTGAGAAGCTTAAAGTCTGCTAGTAGAGCAGCTTCTTACAATTCTCCAGTCAATTCTTTACGTTACTTTTCTGCTTTTGTTGAAACCACCTGTGCTGTTCTGTGTCCATAGCTCTTAATCCTGGTGCTTTCTGTTTCTATTATCTCACATTTCTTTTTTTTTTTTCACTTTTCTTTCCTTATCTAGCTTTTAGTTAAGTTTACTGCAATGTTAAGCTATCTGCAGTACTGGTATCCCTGGCCTTGCCTTGGTAGGTTTTTGCCTGCATTTTTCTGATGTTTTGGCTTCTGATTTTTGTGGCTTCGTTTTTATTTTTGTTTTGTTTCTCTTCTCACTTCCCGAAAGCTTATTTGAAGTGTGATTAAAATCACTTTTGTGTTCAAGTGCTTTTGGGGTGTTCTTTCTCCTAAGCTTCCTGTATCTTTATGTATCCTTCTTTGTACTGCACTCCTTTCCATCTATAAGGCCTTCCACAGCCTTGTTTGTATGATCACTAAGACTTGTTATGTACTTTTTGCAGTAATCTTACTTCTTTCCTTAATCTTTACTGAGCCTTCATTCCTCCTGCAGTTTGTTCTTGAGCTTCTGGTCTTTTTTACGATCAGCAAATTCCTTGAATTCCTGTTACAGAATTTCTGGAATTACAAGTAGAGCTCTATTTTTCCCTTTTCTTAGTTGAATCCAATATCTCTGTATTATATTTCCATGTCACCTATAATTTCAGTTGTAATCTTTCCCAGCAGAGGGGAATACATTTTATATACCTGCACCAGGCACTTCAAAATACACTTAAGTTTAAAAAAAAAAAAAGAGAGAGCTATTTATTTTTCCTTTTTAGATTCTCTGACCTGATACCCATACATACTAATTTTAGCTAACCAGGCAGTGTGCTCAAAGGGTGCGTTAGTAATAAAATTCTGGCCTCTAGATTTGCACATTGCCTTGCATATATGCCCTAGAGGTGCAGTTTTCCATTCTTCTCAGCAGAGTTAATGGCTGTTTATTCTCTAGTGTGTGATTCATGTTCGTATTGTTTGCACTCTGCATCTTTTGTAGCTGTGTCTACTTGAACTTGGAAAAAAAACAAGTGGGTACAGCATTGTATAGCTAGAATAAAAAGTAAGCAGCTCCAGTTTTCTGCTTGAGTTTTATGTGAATTCGGATTGAATATGGGAACAGTCTGTGATATGTTTTATTTAGGTCGTGTTTAGAGTTCTTCTTGCTCTGGTACCCTTGACGTTTCTCATTTGGCTTTTTCTATCAATCAAGGGCAGCTTTAGATCCCCATGCTATCTGCTCATGTCTTTATGGTCCCCACTGGATTTGAGGTGATGGATGGAACTTTTGTTTGGAGCCTCCTGTCTCTCTCAGCTTGCTATTCTTTATTGACTGTGAATAAGTGGTTGCACTGTATTCCTGCAGGACCACTACGTTGTCCTAGTTTTTATGCTTGTCTTGTGTTTTCTTCCACATAGCAGATCTAATTGTGTGCATAAGGAATGGATTATTGACTAAAACTATCTGTGTATGTATCATTTTCTTGGTGAGTCGGTCTTAGTGATTCTAAGTGCTTCTCTGATAACAGTGAGCATTTTTCACTAGGATGGTCAACAGGACAAGGAATGGGTGGGTTACTTTCGGAATTTGCCAGATTCCCTGACATCACTGCTGGTCCTGCTGACTACAGCAAATAACCCTGATGGTGAGCACTCCATTTCAGAAATAACTCTTGTCTGTATTAATCAATGAACAGTGAAATATTGTCAGATTGCTGTAATTGTTCTTGCAGCTGGAAGCTCTTAGGAAGGTTCTGCAAAGATGATTTGTGCATGAAGTTACTCAGGATTTTTTGTATTTCTGTGCTTTAATTTATATACACAGCTCTGCAGTGGAGCTGTATGAGAGCTTTTACCAATTGTCCAAAATTGACAGAGATCTCCTTTATTTTTTTTTATCCTCTTAAATATGAAATTAATAATATATATATTTTTAATTAAATCTGTTGCAGTAATGATTCCTGCTTATTCTAAGAACCGAGCATATTCCATCTTCTTCATACTCTTCACTGTATTAGGTAAGTCATTGCTTGTCTTCATGAACTTAAATGGAGTGTAGCTTTGACATTGATGCATGCCAGCTGGAAAGGGGTTTATTTTTCTCAGAGAGCTTCATCACAAGTTTTCCTTTATGGCTTTTTAAAAAATCGTTATTTCTTGACCATGTTCTGTCTTGCAAGATAGGTTTCACAAAAGGCTCTTATTAAATAGTTCAGTTTTTTTTTTTTTGTAACTTATCATTAGAGAACAGATACACAACTGCATGTACAATGTTAAGCTTTAGTTTTAGAGGAGAAATTCAAGTAGACGGTCTTTTGAATTCTTATGTGTGATTTGCTATATGCACATATGAAACTTCTTTGCAGTGCTCATGTGATACACTGACATTTTTTCTATCTTAGGAGGGAAAGTTTTGTGAAGTTTGTGAATCTTATTTTTTTTGTCTTTTGAAAACTAATGGCTGCCTCTCATTTGAGACGTGATTGAAATGTCTCTTGATTACTGTCGAAGCTGATTCTTTTCTTGGTTGGTGTGAGAGAAGGTTGAGTATTGTGTTGTATGCTGTACGATGTAAAAATGTTTAGAATTAAATAGTTGTTGGCCTAGAATCAGAGAAATGCGATGCATCTTTGAGAAACAAGCATCTATCCCACTAATTCTGGTCACTTTTTTCTTCAAAAGGTAACTTATTTCTGATGAACCTACTTACAGCAATAATCTACAACCAGTTTCGTGGGTACCTTCTGGTGAGTAAAACTTCTCTAACATCTGTGTTCTACTGTAACCTTACGGCTGTGAAATCCTGGGTGTTTGTGGATTTACCTGTGTATCGAAGTATGCCAATCCAATAGTAAGTACAGTTTTAAGATGAGAAAGGTTCATAAAACTGATGTATGTATTTTTACCCATGTGTGCTATTGTAGCTTGATGCCTTTTGGATGAGAAAATCACGTGTTTATGTATGCTTTAGATGTGCAGCTGTGACTAGCATATGAGAAAAACGAGAATGAGAACAATAATGAAACGGTGAACAAGGGACTGTACTTTTTCAATAGCTGTTGTTGCAAAGCCCAGCATTTAATTTCTCAGAGTAGCACAGTATGAGAAGCCCTCACTAAAAACAACTTGCTGACCTTGGTGTCTATAAGAGAAGTAAAAGCTGACAAAGTTACTGTAGTTGATTCCACGAATTGTGGAAGGAACTTAGCTATGGTGGTGGTGAAACTGAGCGTTACAGGTTCTTTCTCCTTCATTGACAAGCTGTGTAGTGTGTTCTGTTGTATTAGGTACACCAGATGGAAATGCTCTGGATTTCCTTAGTAGGAAACAGATGTAAGTTCTTTTGGTTTCTCGCTGAGGTAGAATAGTTTAGCAGTATGAGAGCAGTGAGCTGAGGCAAGTGTATTTTAAAAAGAAGGGAGAGCATAGGCAAAGATGAACTTTCATTTTACTACTTCCAGTAAATGACTGGATAAGGTAGAGGCTGTGTTACACAAATGTAGTTTGTCTCACAGCTGAACTGCTGGGCAATGGGTTAAGGCTGTGTTTTGGTGAGTGTTTTTGTTTTGTGTACCAGTGTGGTGATGACTTCCCTGGCTTAGAATGAGCAGCATTTTCCTATTGTGTAAGTAAACTGTGTTTACTTGAAGTCTAGAGCCTTGTCTGCTTGGTTTCTTCCTTCCTTTGTACAGAGTTCTTGTAAGGAGTGAGAGCTAGGAAGTCTCTTCTCCAGTCATAAGACTGCAAGAGTGCCAGAGGATCAGTGTGCAATCTGAGCTGGGTTTTCCTGTTGGTCTGCAAGTCCTTCTGGTAGGACTGGACTTTGCTGATTTCAACCTTTGATCCTTCAACAATTCCCCTTAAACTGTGGGAGTGTCTGTCTGGTATCTTAACAGTCAAATCTAGTAGCTGATAATGAGGACTTTGGCAGGAAGGGAAAGAAAGCAGTATTTTGACTTCTTGGAAACAGATTGAGTTAGATAGACAAGGCCTTCTGTGAAGCTTGCTGTTGGCTTTGCCAACTGACATTTGTGTCATCTGTTTCATTTATCATACCATTTATCCTTGTTCATAACAGGGGAGTTGGGCTAGGTGATCTCTGCAGATCCCTTCCAACTCAGATGATTCCACGATCTGGTTGAATTTCCCAGTGTTAAGCAGACTGCCTCCTATTATCTTCTTAACGTGTGGTGTCTTTCTTGTGCAGAAATCCGTTCAGTCCTCCCTCTTCAGAAGACGGCTGGGAATCCGGGCTGCATTTGAAGTGCTTTCTTCCCTAAAAGAGACTCCTGCTAATGCAGAACAGTGAGTGGTGGATATTGAGGCAGTAGTGCACCCAGCAGAAAAGACCAAATTTTCAGCTCTTGTTTCAGTGTATGCAGGAAACTGATAGGGTCATGGCTTGAGCTGGTGAAGAGGTATGGCTGGCCCAGGGGACACTGGCAAATTGTTGGCACCTGTGCTCCCTGTGCAACCAGAAGGAGAGGGCCCAGGGTGGAGCCATCCTGGGCTCAAGTAAGGGCCAGCTGCTGAAGGGAGGAGCATCTCTTGGGCCTTGGCTGCTTCCTGAGAAGGGGTGCTGTGTAGCCAGAGATCCCCTTCACCAGCTGGATGAGTTCCATTCTTCTTTGTACATGACTATTGGCCTACCTTTGAATGTTTTACTTCGTATCACTAAGAAGCAAGTTTGCTTCTTCAGAAACAGAACTAGTGTGAACTGAAGATCTCTCATTGAAAAACAACAGTTTTGCTTATTTTTTTTTATTCCATTCTTCAAGTGGGTTTTTATAGTGAGTTGTCTAGGACTTTTATGGGATATTTTCTTTTCATTACTGCTTCTAATTTTATTGGCTTTAAAAGAAGAAAACAAAACCAGAACTATTGATTGTCTCAGTGGCAAGATGTCTCTTTCAGGACCCATCCTCTAAGCTCATCTTCTTTTGGATAGGTCGTATGTTAGTGCTGGAGCCTTGCTTCAAGTGCTGCAGAAAGTTGAAATGGATTCTCGCAGCAGGCAAGCAATCATGATGGTAAGAGCTGGATCTTCTTAATCCTTGGAGGCTGTCAAACTCTTGCTGGGACAGTTATGGAAGCTGATTTCTTTTTTTTTTTTTTTTTTTTTTTTTTTTTAATCACAGCAATGATTTAGGAGCAGTAGTCTTCAGCTGTTTCTGTCCTGCTTTCTTTATGAGCATGAGCTGAGTCCAGATCAGTGTCTGCTTATGTGCTGGTCTTTGCCTAGTAACAGCTTTAGTTCCAATGATTTCAAACTAAGACTGCCACTCCTGTGGTTGGTTTGAAGAAGAAGGCATTCACTGATAGGTGGTGTAGGTGAAGACTTTATTTTGCAGAGCCAAAATTCTGATTTGCTTTGGTTTATCTCTGAAAATAAAATCTCTCTCACTGTGGTCTGGAGCTGCTACCTACAGTTTGGTGTATCTTTACCATTTGAACATGGGGAGGTGTATGTAATTGTATTGCTTCCTCTAAGTTCTGATACTTATGTCAGGCTATAGGAAGAATTGTTTTGCTTATCTAAGGCCTTAATGTTGCTGTTTGCGCTGCAGTTTTTAGGTAGAGCAATTAGCTCAGCAGGAGATACAAGATGCAAAAGTTACAGGTATGGTATCAGAAAAACTGCTCCAAAAATATTATTGCTTTTTAAGGACCAAATTGGAGGAGGTCTTGGAGATAGATGTTATGAACTAATGCCAAGAGAAGGGGTCAACAAAGAGCTGTTGGTAATGGTGTGCCAGCAGTTGGCTGGATCCATTGTGAAGATACACATGTTGCTTTCTGTCATTGTCTGGGATAGGGGCTGTGTAAACAGAGTTGCCTGAAAATAGCACTCTGCTCTGTGATTAAGACTGCACTGTTTGTTAAGTACACAAATCCAATCTGAGAGTGGTGGTACTTCCTGAAGGTGCACTTAATGCAGATGTTGATCTGGCTTTCTCTTTCATGTGAAGTCACTCAAAATATGTTCCTGTGACCAGCTGTCAGCTGCCCAGTTCCAGTGGCTCTTTGAAGAGCTAGACAAGGATGCCATTAAACAAGTACGTATGTACCTCATCACTATTTACAGAGTGTCATAAGGTAGTATGGTTTTGAACAGTTCTGTATTTATGTGGAACTAAGATCTTTCCTTCTCTTTGAGGGAGACAAATGATGGGAGTGGTGGAAGGAATATATGCAATTAATAGCCTGGTTAATTTACCCACTTGAGGCATTGGAGAGGTTGGATTTTTTTTTTTCCCTTTCTTATCTTGTATTGTGCCATGATCGCCAATGCTTTTGCTCTTTGGAGATGATCTCTTGCTGATAATAGCTAGAGCTTGAAAGCGCTTTCCTAATTAAAATGGACTTGAAAAGTTTTGCTTTGAAAAGGTATGTTTCTTAAATCTGAAACTGGGCTATTTTTCCCTGCATTGTTATTAAAATCCTTGTGTTGCCTTTCAGTGTAATTGTTGTGTTCTTTTCAGCATCCTCCCAGTCCAGAGTACCGATCCCATTTCATGCGGAAAATGCAGTTTGCCTTTGGCCATCCCTACTTTGGCTACTTGGGAAATGTTGTTGCCCTTGCAAACATTGTTTCTATCTGTGTACGTAAGAGAGAAAAACATTTTTTTTTTCTTGTTGCAAAATTCAGCAGTAAAACAGTGGATTCATGGAAGATTTGTTGTTATTTAAGGTGGTTTTGGTGTTGGATGCAGATAAGCAGCCTTCTGAAAGAGATGACTTCTTCTTGGGGGTAAGATGCAGCAGTATTTCTGTGGATATTGCTGTTCCCTTAATGTGGTTAATTCTAATCTTTATTATCATTTGTGCGGTCTGAAGACTATCAACTGCTTCTTCATCATATACTATCTGATGGAAATGTTGTTGAAAATCTTGGCAATGGGCTTGAAAAGATATTTATCATACCCGAGCAATAGGTTTGATGGACTTCTAACTACAATTTTGCTGGTAAGTTTGTTTTGTTGTTAACTTCTGTATTCCTGGATTTGTTGTTTAGGGTCATATTGAGTTGCAAGATCTAGCAGGATGCCAGTAGGATTGCTCCTAGTTGAACACTGGTGTGCTGAGTTGAACAGCTTGAGCCAGTGTTGTGTTTTGCAGTGGCATGAGTGCTTTGGAATGGTACTTTGAATGTCCCTTTCCTGGAGAAATTGCTGGAAAAGTTGAGCTTCTTACAGGCAGCCTTTTTAATGTTATTTGGAAGCATTCTGCTCACAAGGATGTCTGTAATGTAGTTAAGCATCACTTATTGAATAATAAAGTGGCAGGATATTAAATCTGTTTGGTAAAACCCTGAAACCTAACTTACACAGTGTAACTCACTCAGTATCTTTCTGTGTGTCACCTTAGGACTAATTTGGATGTATTGTCAAATATAGCAATACCAGAGTATATAAGTAGAGTCATACTAGTGGCTTAAAGCTATTGAACATGTTTTCTGTTGAGAAAGGTAAGTAATATTTAAACCTCAAAATTACCAAGTTTAAAAAGGTTTTTTTACTCTTTTTCCTTTCTCTCTGTCTGAAGGTTTTGGAGATTGCAACTTTTGCTGAATATGGATTTCCTCATCCTGGTTGGTAAGTAATCTCCTTGAACCATTACACTGTCTTAGGTGTCTGGGTTGGATCAGGGGAATATACGTGCATGTTCATGCACACTTGTGGTGTTCTGCTGTAATTATCAGCCCAGTGCATAACTCACCAAACTTAGTAGAAGTTTTCCCTATTGTAGTCACTAAACTTCACGTTGCAAAGTTTAGTAGAGAAATTGCCATGGTGCTGTTCATGTGTACTGGAACAGAAAGCACAGGTCTCCTGACTTTTTTTTCTGTATGTATATTTTTTAAGTCCAAATGGTTCTTGGATAATTATCTTAATCTTTTTTCATCATTAAAACCATGGAAGTGATTGTTTCCATTTTTAAAATACATGTACAGCCATATCAGAAGAGAAAAGCAAAGAACATTTGGAGGACTTTGTAAGTCTTACTTTCAAGGGTGATTCTTGAATGTGGACAGCTGTTTGCACTCTAACAGTATCTTGAAGCACCAGTTATTTTCTCCATCACCACAAACAGATTTCGGCCCAGAAGGTTCTGGATGGCACTAACATCATGTTCTGTGATACATCCTTTAATCACAATTGCAGTTACATCTGCAGATTAAGTAGCATCTTAAAGACAAGACTGAGGTTTCTACTATTATTCTAGAATGTGTTCTGTGTGGTGCTGTCTTAGATGATATTAAGGCTAAACTTGAATGTTTGTGATGCAAATTGTGATCTAGCATCTGTTACCAAGGAGTTTTGTCACTGCTATCTTTCCTTCCCCCACCACCTGCCCACGCTTGTAGCAAGGAGCACCCAGCATGCCTGTGTAAAAGTCAGCTAATGCTCGAGCTGAGATTTGAAGTGTATAGATACTGTCTATAGAACACATACATAAGAAAGAGTGTTGACTGGGCAATCTGTCAGCTTTATACTTTCTTTGAAGACTAACTTCAGCCAGGGCTCAGTAACTTCATTGATGTCTTTTTGTAGTGGGCTGTTTCTCTGATATGTTATTTCTTCCCTAGGAGACCAGAGTTTGTGGGCCTGCTATCCCTGTGGGATATGGTGCGACTGGTGAACATGTTAATTGTGTTCAGGTTCCTGCGGATCATTCCTAATATGAAGGTTGTTTATTCCTCCACACTTCTGATATCTTTTATCAAATTACAAATTTTGTGAAAGGCTCTCCCAGTGCTGTGCATTAGCTTTTCCTTCTGTCTCACCTGAATGGGAGTGTAATTCTTCAGTCTGCACTCCAACTGTCCAGACAATTGCACAGCACCTCACAAACCCTCTTTAGCTGGTTTTCTCCACTGACGTGGTAGGGAAGTCCTGTTGATGTTGCTGTAGCTGATGCTGACATTATAAAATGGGTAGAGAAACGCATCCAGAAATTCTTGCACAGCTTGTGTTGGGCTTCAGCCTCAACTAGTGACTTGATATGAAGTCCTTAGGGAACTTTGTACTCAGGAGCTGATAGGCTCTCACTGGGTGCTGCTGGGCATTTTGATCCTGCAGAAGCTTGTCTGGGAGGAGTTCCTCTCTTCACTTTCCAGTTATGAATAGTTACACAGAGCACTCATGATCTGAAATCACTTTGACAGTTATAATCCTGCACTTAGATTGGCTTGAAATCTATGTCATCAGAGCGTCAGTGGGTGGGAATTGTAGACTAGAAATGCTTCCTCGTCAGTCTCTCTGGAGCTGTGGGATGCTTGAACTTGTTTCCTCCATATTCTGGTCTTACACCTAGCCCTTTAGGTCACTGTATCTGAGCATACCTAAAATTTAGCTTGGTATCTGCTTATGAAAAGGAGCATGGCTCTGTTCATAAATCACGCAGTTATCGCTGTAAGGATCGTCTGCGTTCAGACAGACCTCAGTTTTCCTTCTAGTAAAAATAATTTCATGCAGGTTGGTAGCATGATAAATGTAATATGTATAAAATTCTGCTTTGTTTCAGTTCATGTCTTTGGTTGTTACTACGTTGCTGGACCTGGTAAAAAACTTGAGAGCCTTTGCAGGAATCCTGGTGGTAAGTCATGATGCAGAAGTGTCAAGCACATTCTCTTTATTATGCTGGTATCTGTAAGAAGGGCAGTGAGGAAGTAAACCAGGGCCTTTGGATGTCAGTTTCTGTGACTTCTAACATTTCACTGAAATCAGGCAGTTCTTCAGTATTGTAACAAGCTGCTGTTTTGTTCTGGCCTGCACAATGTGTGCCTCAACTTCAGCTACCAGTGTCTCTTAGGATCACACTTTAAAAGGTTATTTAAGACTTTCCTGAAGTACTTGTCTCAGGTTGGATACTTCAGTTTTGAAAAAATCACCTGTTTTCTAGAAGCAGCCTGGTTTTCCTTACACTGATCTGCTTATCTTAAAATTAGATATCATAACAACTTTAAAATCATTTTGAGTTGGAAAGATCTTGAGATATTGTGTGTTTGGACATGGGGATTTCTGAAAGTCCATGCTGTCATGCTCAAAGAGTGTGTGATGTGTGTAATGTGTGATTAAAGGTTGTGTCACAGCACATGATGTTCATGGCTGCATTTCCTAACTCCCGAGTTTCTGGATTTGCAACAGTCTTCCTGGCAGAGCAAATGAGTTTGTGGGGCATTATTTTTATAATATTTTAGTTTTATTTTGTTAAGATACTTAAATTTAATGGTTAAAGACCAAGGATTTGCTGTATGTTAGGTATTGTCTCAGAAGTTTTTTTTGTATATCAAAATAAAAACTGGCTTGTCACTCATTTTATCCTAGAATAATTACTGTCATTGCTAATCTTGGTTTTAATCTTCAGTTGTGTCCTGGAGAGGGTTATGTTGCAATTTAAAATAACGTTGTCTTGTGCAAAGATAAATTGGTAACAACTTCGTTCTGCTATGCAAGTCATATATCCTGTTGGGACCTATGCATAAAACTGAGAGATGCTTCAGGAGTGTGCCAACTGAGATGTTAGCTTTTATAGTTTTTTTTTTTTAATAGTTTTTTTTTTTCTTTTTTTTTTTTTCTCCCCAGTATCTAAAGGGAGACTACAAAAGGGTGAAGACTCTTTACAAGGGTAGATAGAGGCAGGACAAGGGGAACTGGTTTTAAGTTGGAGGAGAGAAGATTTAGGTTGGATGTCAGGGGGAAGTTCTTCACAGAGAGAGTGGTGAGGTGCTGGAAAGGCTGCCCAGAGAGGTTGTGGATGCCCAGTCCTGGAGGTGTTCAAGGCCAGATTGGATGGGGCCCTGGGCAGCCTGGTCTGGTATTAAATGGGGAGGTTGGCGACCCTGCCGGTGGCAAGGGGGTTGGAGATGATGATCCTTGAGATCCATTCCAACCCAAGCCATTCTATGTTTTTATGATAGGTCAAAGTATATTTCAGGAGCTGAGTTGCCAAATGTCAGAGCCCTATGGAGTTGCAGTCTTTGGGTGAGCTCCGTTGTGCTTTACTGCAGGATCCCAAAGCTGTGCTGCTACTGCTACAGCTGTACATGGGCTTAGTGTTCTGCTGGAAGATCCTTTGATTCCTGACAGTCATAATTACAATGGCAGGAGCTTGTAGTTAGAGTCAAGTTCTTCTTTAGTGGTTATCCGTTAGTGTTTCAGTCTGGTGTCCCTACTTATGCATGTAAGATGTAATGCTTATGAAGTGGTTCTTATCCACTGCAAAATGTCCATCATGCCAGGAGTGTGAACTGTAGTTTTTCACTAATGATGAAGCAAGCAGTTGTACCATAGCATTTGCCACTTCCATTAATTTCACTTGCTTTTACTTGAGGCATTAGGAGCTGCCACTGAGCTTCTGTTGTGTTGACATCTGAGTATATCATTAGCTGATGCTAAAAGTTTTAACAAATTTTCTCCTGAAGCTTGTGCTGGTGAAGTAGTATAACTCATTAGCTACTTTCTGAGATGATCCATGTGCTTAGATAAAATATCAAAGACTAAAGTCAACTTTATTGCAAGGCCATATGCCCCATCTTCTGGTAGGCTGTGGAATGACAGCTTCAACTTAACTCCAGTGATGTCTAAAAAGAGCAGTGCAGTCTTCCTTCTCTTCGTGGACTTCTCCACTTGGTTTTCTAGCAAAACACAGAGATGTGACTAAAGACACTTCAGTCTGTAAACTCATCTTGTCTTAAGCGGTTGTAAAACAAAGGGCTCTGTACTTACTTTTAACTGAAAGTTAAATGGGATTTTGAAAAGTAAGAGCAACAATTTTTTATATATATATAATATATAAAAATATATTATATATAAAAATATATATATAATTTGTAAAAAGTATAGGTATTAAGTATTTTTATTTCAAAAAGTTCCAGGCATTTTTCTTGACTGTTGCCCTTTGCCTGTGATGCTAAGGTGAATTCTGTATAAATTGCACTGTTTTCTTATTTAGTGACAGAAATATTCAAAACTAATGCCTAAATGTATTCCTTCCAGGTGGTTTTCTATGCATTTGCTATAACTGGCATAATGCTGTTTAAAGGTGCTGTGGTTCCTCTGGGAAATGTCAGGTAATATTACTATTCAAAGTAGTACTGGATAGTTTTCAAGTGCATCTGCAAAACTGTGACTCTGAGGTTTTTATTTTGTCCTTGTGTTTGAAGCTGTCTTTGCATTAATCACACAGACTTTTTTCATTTGTTACTCTGTCAGTTTTTCTTACTGTATTGGAATTGCAGAAAGCTCACCTAAAACTCAAAATTTTTAACCTGCTGTAGCTTTAATACTTAGTTTAACGATTTCCTCTGTTTTCTGCCCAAATGAGATACTTAAATTTCTGCAAGGTACTTGCAGGAATCTTGTTTTTGAGGTATAGTATGTAGATAGCTGTGCTCATATCAGACTATCATTCTCTTACAGTCTTGTTAATACAACATATAACAACGGCACTTTGCAGTGTGGGACCTATGAGCAACTGGAATATTGGCCAAACAACTTTGATGACTTTGCTGTGAGTCGGTCTTAGCTCTCCTTCTCTCTCTGCCTGATGGTGTCCTTCTTTTTCCGAGGCTTTGAAGTATGTGATGCATTCACTCAGCTTCTCTTTTCCTCATTCTCTTCAGGCAGCGTTAGTGACTCTTTGGGATGTGATGGTAGTGAACAACTGGCAAGTCTTTTTGGAAGCATTTTCGAGATACTCAAGTCCGTAAGTAGCAGTAATAAAACTGATACAGTGTCGTATCAATTTGGCTTGTAAACAAATGAGAATTGCACAGATAGCACAGTTCCTATAATCTTATAAAGAGAGGTGCTTCTTACTTTTCTTTTGGGTAATTCCAGGTTTGTAGGGAAAACTACTAACTATGTAACTCAATGACTTGCTGCTGCAAAAACTATGATCGTGTTTAGAAGGTATTCTAAACTGGTTTGATAGTTCTCTTGTTCCAAAAAAAGTGAATTATAAACAGGTTTGCAACATACATTTGCTGGGTGGCTCTCACTGTAGAGTCAATTGTGCAGAAGAGATGTAAGTGAATCACAGTAACTTATTTGAGGTTGCTTTTGTATTTACTCTGTGGGTAAATAACTTTTGGTAGGCTTAGAATCTTGGGCATATCTTTCATTTGTATTGCACTGTTTTATGGGAATTTTGAGTTAGCAGGATAGCCTCTGAGTTGGCTTGCTGCAGCGATCCTTGACTGGTCACATTTCAGTGCAGTAACTTGGGAGTTTTGCTGTTTGATTTCTGTGGAGTCGTGGTTTCATCCACATATCAAATATTGCAGTTTGAATCAAGCAGAAGGAAGTGATTCTTCACCCAGGATGTGGTTAAGATGGAGCATTTTTTTTACAAGCTGTTAGGTGTGTTAAGTGTTAAATGTGGTCTGGTGATGATTGGAGAAGTCACGAGAGAAGTCTCTTGGGATCTGAAATGAACAGAATCCACCTCTAGCTCAATAAATTTCTAAAGTGCAAGTGGTTGGAGATGAAGAGCACTTAAGGGGTAGCCTTGTAGGTATTTTGCTGTGTTTTTGCAATTGTTCCATTCCCTGCTGCTGTTGGCCACTCAAAGGATACCATACCATCCTAGGTAGATCTTTCTGTGATCCATAACATCCTTTCCTAGACTGTTTCCCCCCCCCCCCCCCTCTCTTTTCATGGTTTCTTTAGGTATGTTAAGTTGGGGAACAAAATCTGTTAGGCTAACTGAATGAAAAGTCAAGATTGTTGTTAGATCCAGATCTTCTTTTACATTAGTAGTATAATCTTTGAAGGAAAAATGTGATTTCATTCTGGCTTTGGTTACTTCCAGGCTGAGTTTATTTGCTGTCTACTTTATCATAGACCCACAGACTCATTTATTTCCTTTAATCTGATCTGCAGGTGGGCAAAGATCTATTTTGTAGCCTGGTGGTTGATCTCCTCTGTCATATGGGTTAATCTCTTCATAGCTTTACTTCTAGAGGTAAGAAGGAGTATTATTTGATGTTAAATCCTGATAAAAGGTTATGATCTTTATGGGAAATGAAAAGAGCCCAGAAAACCTTCTGGGAAATTTGGTTTGGTTTTGCATGTCCACTTGATCTTTTTTCCCTGTCCTTTTTCCCCCAGATGTTCAGGAAGCATTTTCTTTTCCCCAGACAATTGCGCATTTCTTTATTTTGAAACTTTGTCACAAGCCTGACCGCGTTTTGTTGGATGTGAATGTTTGTCCATTACAGCTGATTCACTATGAAGATGTGTTATGGTGTCAGTTTTTTGCCATTGCTTTTGTCTTCCAGAACTTTATTCACAAGTGGGACCGTCGCTGTCATCGGGAGTCTCTCTCAGATATTGAATACCAGAGGACAGTAGAACTAATGTTCAGGTGAATTAAATTGGGCATGGTGATTGATTTAGATTATTCTGTTTCTCTCTTGGTGCTCGTTGCGAGATGGTACAAGACTTCTCTTAATTTCCTTCCTCAGAAGTAAACTGTATCATCTTTTACCTTGGTGAATCTCAGTACGTGCTCTAGTTGGACTTGTTTTAAGCTGACTTGTGAGCCTAACCTTTATATGCTTTCTGCCAAGATTGTGGTGGGAGAAGAGGTATTGGAAGTAGGGGGAGCTGTGCTGAGGGGAAGAAGAAATTGAAGATGAGGAAACTGATGCACATTCTTGGCTTATTATGACACTGTGGGTGGTGAGCTGATACTCGATGATCATGAACACGTAGAACTTCTGGTGCACATTGGATATTCAATAGTAGCGTTGGGAACATGCTCTCATCTGGGAGCTTTTTCAGGAAAACAAACTTACTGACCTTCAGTTGTATTGCACTATGTGCAGGAAATTGTTTCCCTGCTCCTTATGGGAAAACAGCTGCTGGTTTCCATGACACATCTGTAAAGGATGGATCACTGGCAAGTAGATGCATCTTTAGGGAGCATCAACTTATTGTAATTTTAATTCCACTTTTCAAGAATGGAACGAGCACGTGTTCTCGCAGTGTGGACACTGAGATGCAACAACTGCTGAGAAGTTCCCTTTGTTGTCCCTAACAACCCGTGCTTTCTCTTTGTAGAGATGTTTTGGAAGAACCAACAGAGGAAGAGCTGATGGAAAAGCTGCACCAACATCCACACCTGCACTTATGTAGGTGACTGGTGGGAAGGATGGACTTATTTAGACCTCTGTTTTTTGAGGTTGTCAGCTGGAAGAAATAGAATGGATTTTCTGTGAGGTGCTGCTGGGAGAGGCTTGCAAGGCAATATGTAAGGCTTTGCTTGGCAATTCTCTGCCGAAAGAATGTTTTTAACTGTTCATATTTGAATCCTTGCTATTCCAACTTGATTTTAAGTTGCAATTTTAGAGGAGTATTGCAGCTATTATTTTTATAAACTGTTGGTATCAGAAAGTTTTATTTTCTTTTTTAAGAAGGGAAAGTGTGTTAAAAGGACAGTGCACTTTAAAATATGGACTCTGTAACCACTAAGCCTACTATTTTGAAAAGCACAAGAAAATGGAGCTGCCTTTCCTAGAAGGGGAGTGTGGAGAGGGCTGCACCCTGCAGTTGGTGAATGGATTAGGCAGGGCCAGAGCAAAATCCTTCATTTTTCTGTAGGGAAACTGAAGCACTGTTTTCACTGAAACATGTCACCAGCCTGTCTTACTAAATTTACAGGTGTTAATCACTTCAGAACACAATTAAGTTCAACTGTGGTTGAACTTAATCATGTAGAGTGCCTACTTCACACCTCTTCCATTTGATCGAGGGTTTGTGCTGGTTGCACCATGCTGGTTGCCTTGAGAGCAATAGTAAGTGTGAATGGAAAAATTACATTTGTGGTTTTCAGTGTGATAAGACTGAGCTCACCTTTAGGGTAAATATTTTCATGTTGCTTTTTAGTGAACTCTTCTTTTTAACTTTATCTTCTAAATCCTGTTTTATAATGTATCGTGTTCCATAAGAAAGCTGAGGGGGGTGAACTTTGGCCAGATGTAGCATCGTGGTCACTGTGAGTCTCCCTTTTAAAGGGGGCAAAAAAAGGCTGAGTGGGGTAATCTAAGTGCATAGCAGTTCAGATTTTCCTCTGAGTGTTGCTGTGGCTTTGTGGCCACTTGCTTTGTACCAGAGTAATTTGTCCTGTGTAAGTACCTTGGTCAGTGTATCTAAAGTTGAGAATTAACAGTAAGTTATGTTTACGTGCTTCTCATTACCCCTTAGTATTTCTCTAAAAATGGTGCTTAAGTTTGATTCTTTGTCACATAGCTAGTAAATCACAGTCACAAATACTCTCGTTCCCAATTTAAATTTTTATATGTGAAAATGAAACTCTACTTTGAGGCACTGAATTTTCATTGAGTCACTTGTCGCTAAAATGGACAGTGATTCTCAGCACCTGGCAAAGGCCTGGGGAAGGTAAATGGCTCTAAAACGCCTATGAGCTTAGGAGTTATTTGATACTTTTTAGATAACAAAACATAGAAAGTGCCAAGTAGTCATCCTATTTACTTTTTCCTCTTGTTTTGTCATCGTTTTTTTTTTCTAGTTTCCCTAATAATACAGGAGAGAATCTGGGACAATGGTACAACAAGCTCAGAAGTGTATTTTTGCATTATTGCACTATTTAAAAGTTATTTGGCAGTCCTTGTCTGTTTCTTTATCACTGATTTTCCTTGTGCTTTAGACAAAGCGTGTGTCTTGTTTGCATATTTATATGACATGTCTCAGCTGAGCTCTATGCCACACAGCAATTTTTCTTTACTTCTGTAATTCTGCACCTTAAGCCATGCTGTTGTCTTTTTTTACTCATCTCAATCCCTTAATAATCCAATGAGTAACTTGATTGCACAGGTTTTTGGGGGCATTACCATGCTTATATTCTATTGCGAACTTAGAACACAGATTATAACGAGTAGATAAAAAGCACCACCACATTTCTGTATTTGATTTTGGTTTTGTCAGGATGACTTCTGCTTTTTCGAGCTTGATTTAATCACAGGCACCAATTTATTGGCACTGTTAATGGAGTTATGATCTGCTGACCTTTTTACTCTTTTTCATCATCTTTTTCATTTTGGACTTTTGTCCAAAAATGAAAATGGAAACCACTTTGCCTGGCCAGAAAGTTGGTGACCTTTTCCTATTGGCTTGCAAGCTTCAATCCTGTTTTGTTTTATTTGTTCTTAAGATTTTTCTTTGTCCGTTACGTTCCACCATAATCTACCAAAGCAACATGAATTGGTGTGGAATTATCATCACCAGTGCTTCTGCAATGCAGTCTTCACATGTGCATGGGGTGAAGAAGGCACTCTGAAGGGAATAGTCTTAGTCTTGTTCATGTGTCACAGCTGTGTAATGGATGGGAAATTTAATTAGAAGTTAATATTAAATCTAATGGCAGTTGTACTGAAAGATGTAAATGACCACAAGTCTTGCACAATAACTGTATAAATCATGACAATGTAACTGGGTAAAATTTGAGGTTTGTATTATTAAAAAGGTTTATTCTTAAAATATGAAAGTATGAACTGTTAAAAAGATTCCTGTGGCTTGTTTTCTTTCCATGTCCCATAGCTACAGAATTCTTTGTTTCTAAGCACATGTTAGCATTATCTGTAGGTACTTATGCTTAACTTCTAAGGTGAATAGTTCCTTGGAACTAAGTCAGGATGTTGGGCAGCACGGTTTCCATTTTCATTTTAGTCTTTGGTGCATCTGCAAACTGGATTTTCCTTCCTTGTTCTCCCTGTGAGGGTCAGCGCAATATATGTTCTCATAGCACTTCACAGAACTGTTTGAGTTGGAAGGGACCCTTGAAGGCCATCTGGTCCAACTGCCCTGCAATGAACAGGCACACCTACACTAGGTGCTCAGTGTCCCATCCAACCTGACCTCGGATGCCTCCATGGATGGGGCATCCACCACCCCTCTGAGCAACCTGTGCTGGTGCCTTATCATAAAAAAAACTTTTTCCTTATATCCAACCTAAACCTCCCATCTTTTAGTTTGATACCATTTTGTCTTGTCCTATCACTGCTAAAGCGTCTGTCCCTTTCTTTCTTCAGGTGGGACAGATCTCGCACAAAATATGTCAGAGCCCATAACGTTACTTTGAAACAGGTTACATTTTTTTAAGAACAGGACAAAATCAATTTCAGGTCAAGCTAAAGTCGTCTTGAGTTTGGTACTGTCTCTGGCAGTTGCTTTAGTGGAGCATGTAGGAAACAAAGTAAGCAGCAGGTGACCTTGCCTTGTTAATCAGGCACAGATTTTTTTGCTAGTTGCCCAAGGAGGCTTTAATCAGCAACATGTTGGCTAATTGGAGATTCCTCAGGTGTTTTTTATTCCTCACCTGTTACGAATTTGTACTATTTAAAGACGTAAGGGTGGTGGGAGAGAGAAGAGAGAATTCAAATGTTCTCTGTTTCAGTAGAAGCATGGCAACAACAGTCAGTTTCAATAGCATGCTTATGTATGAAGAAATTTCAAAAGCTGCAGATGGGGCATCTAGCATAACTAGTAACTGGGCAGAAGCTGCAGATGGAAGAAGAAATACCCTCTTGGATTTCAAGGAATTATGTGAGTAGACTACACAAGGCTTGTTTTCTTGACCTCTCTATGTTGCACTGGTGGGGACTATCAATTAGTAAACTGTGAAATGTAAAGTAAAAGTATCTTAAATCTTGTTTTCACCTGTCTGTGTACCGTAAGCAGTAGCATCTGTAAGTAGCATTACTGTGACTTCTGCTATTGCTTAATGTTCTTTTAGTCAGATGAGGTCATTTCAGCTTTCCATCTGTCTTGGCTTTTTATTGAAAAGGAAATAAATATAGGTGTCTGCATGTGCTCTTTCTGTAGGCGTGTTGATGACTTCTGCTTTCCCTAGAGTTTTCTTGAAATAACAGGCCTTCCGCCCGAGGGGAGATCAAATGGTTTGGACTTAATCTGCAGTCTTCTAAACGTTTGGAGACATTTATTATGTGAACTTTGAGTAGAAATAATTTGGAGTGGGGGAGGGAAGAGACTTGGTTTCAGTTTCAGCTCTAAGTACTGCACAGAATGTTTCCAAATGACCTTGATAACCTAGAGGAGATTTCCACTCGCAATTTTGGCTAATGTAATAAGGCAAACTATTACAGTTTTAAAAAAATACAGCATGGGAGAGTAAGTGGTATTAGAGGACAAATCTTACAGGTATCTGAAAGATTAAATGAAAAGTACTTTGCTGTAACTGGCTTTGGAATTCCAGTCTTGGAATGGCATTCCAGTCTTGAAATGGCATTCCAGTGTTGGACCCCACATTTAAAATAATCAAGTTAGGGGAGGCATTTGTTACAGGATAGTAACAGAGGTCATAAGGGATTTGGGAACTGTGTTGGGAAGATTTTGAAGGAGGTGATTTGTTCAGGCAAACAAGAAACGGGCACATGTATTTGCTGTTTAAAAAGCTATGAATGATGTGAGAGAGGTGATCTGTTTCTGTTGCGCTGATGGTAGGACAAATCATTGCTCAGATTTCGTTAGAAAGAGTTTCTGGCTGTGAGGAGCTGCTGCTGACTGTGGGCATGGAATCTGGGAGGTCACAGATTCCCTTTGCTTGAGGCCCTCTTAGGAAAGCCTCTTAGGAGTCCCTCTGCTCCAGCTTTGTATGTTTGTGAACCTGCCCTGATGGTGAAGCATCTGCTGGTCCCTGAGATCCCGTCCCACCCACCTCTCTCTGATTTCACTGGAAAGAATTCCCATGGCTGTAACAAACTCAGCTTTTGTTGTTAGAGCGTGTGCTGTTGAATCTAGCTAATGGCTTACAAATGTGTACAGTAAAGAAAATTTTTACAGGGAGGGATATCGAAAAATATCCACTGTTTAGTCAAGTAGGGAGGTGAAATTTAGTTGTGTGTGCTACATCTCTGATAATCAACCTAATTTCCCCTAGGTGCCTCACTGCATCCTCATTGCAGATGCAGTTTTCCCTACTTGATTCCTTTTAATCTTGTTTCTAGTTATCCAACCTCTTTGGATAAGAGGAGTAATGTGCTGCCCTTCTACCAGTCTGTGTTTGCTTCTTAGTAAGACAAGCACAGAAGGCATATCTTTCTTGTGGTAAGAAGGCTTAATTTGGGCACTCTGCTCTACTTGTGACCAGCTGTCATCTCATGCCACTTTGTGGCATGTTTAGCTCCTCTGTCAAACTTGGTTTGAATGAGTTGAAGAATTCTCAGGGGAGACCTTGTTGCCCTCTGTAACTACCTGAAGGGAGGTTGTAGTGAGCTGGGGGTTGGCCTCTTCTCTCGTGTGTCTAGTGATAGGACTGGAGGGAATGGCTTCAAGCTGCGCCAGGGGAGATTTAGGTTGGACGTTAGGAAATACTGCTTTTCTGAAAGAGTGGTCAGGCACTGGAATGGGCGGCCCAGGGAAGTGGTGCAGTCACCGGCCCTGGAGGTGTTCAAGGAACGGTTGGATTTTGTGTTGAGGGACATGGTTTAGTGAGAACTATTGGTGATAGGTGGATGGATGGACTGGGTGATCTTGTAGGTCTTCTCCAACCTTGGTGATTCTGTGATTACTGGGGGTGATGTTCTGTGTGACTGTTAGAGTGGTGCAGCTAGAAAATGTTACGATAAGTAAAGCTGTGTTGTTGGGAGTTGTATTATTAAAATTGGTGTGATGATTCACTGCATCCAGGGTGACTGAGAATTGAGAGCTTTTCAATGAGAATTGGGACTCTAGTTGGCAGAAGAGGTGGTGGTTCAGAGGGCAGTATGGTTAAGTCGTGGTTGAACTCCATGATCTTTGAGGTCTTTTCCAACCTGAGCAATTCTATGACACTAGTGTGCTCACCATCATTAGTCTGTTTGTAGAATGTGTTTCTGAACTGTGTGCATCATCCACGGTTACCACTGCTTTTTTTGAAAGATAAAGATAAATATATCATGGTGTATTTAAATAACAGAGCTGGTAGTGGGAAATCTGTTGCTATGGCAGGAATAAGCACCAAATCTTTAGATTTTGTGAATCACAAGCCTCATACTTCATGCTATGCTTAAATCTTTTTCTGCGTACATAGAACTACTGTTTTCACAGCATAAAATGAGAGAAAGTGTTCAACTGAGGCTAAGGTGGCACTCTGCAAACAGTAGGTGCATAGTGATGGGTGCAGCTGGGGGAGCCACCTGTAGTTATCACCTGGAAAGCACGTGAGAACAATTTCATGACTGCATATAGGGCGAAGTCACAAGGAACAGCAAGCATGTATGTTTTTAAAAAGTGTCACAGTGGACTAAAATTATTGTTGTTCAGTAGGGAAGCCATAATGGTGATACCTGTATTTTATATTTGTTTTCCAAAGGTAGCAGAATGGTTGTTTGCCAAGAATTACCTGTGTTATTTACTAAATAAACCTAAGCGTCTGTTCAGTTTTTTATTTCTATTTATGTAGCTTGTTTGCAATTCTGTTCGTATCCACTTTTCCACAGTAATATTTTGTTGAACTTCAGACTGTAAGTTGAAGATGATTGCAGCTTGTAACAGCCTTGGTCATCTTTTTTCCATTAGGTCAGTGGAGCAGGTGTTGTCTTTGTTCTGCAAGGATACTTTCATGGCCCTCATCACTGCATTATTTGAGTGCCTCTCGAGTACATTACTGAAAACATCCTGTTGGAATAGGAAAATATGACTATCCTTATTTTACAGATGATCAGCTGAGATATTTGGTGATCTGCCCATAGCCAAGCTTGAAATCCGTGGGAGAGTTCGGAATAAAACCTGGAGTTCCTGCTTGCTGCTCTCACTAACAGATAATACTGCCTTTCTTCCTTTACAACAGCTGTGAACTTCAGGTGTAGATGATGATGATGTTTCCAGTCAGTTGGTTTGCAGTTTTGCTACTGCCTATTCTTGTATTTAACTTCTGCTTATGTTGTTTTAAAACTGCAGAAAAATCCAGGGACCTCTCAACTTCTAACTTTATTTCCTATATTACCAAAAAAAGGAGGGCTATTACTGCTGTGCTACCTGACTTACAAATATTGAGTAGAAATGATCTGATGCTGACCCATGTGCTGGAATTTCAGTAAGTGTAACTGAACTGCAAGGTTTATAGTATCCCAGGTGCTACTGTCTGTGTGCAAAAGGACAATGAACAAACAGGATGACCATCCAGATCAACTTCTATTTGACAGCTCCTGCTCTCCCTGCTGTCAGACCTGGCACTCTCTCCAGGTATTCTTTGTTTTTCCTTAGTGTTGTCTCTTCATACTGCTTGTGTTTTGCTCTTTGAGATGAAAATGAACGGTCCACCTTCTCAGAGCTGGTGAGTGCCTGCAGCTGCATACTGAATTTTGAAAACTATGTCCAATTGTCTTGCATCATTTTACAAAGGACCATCAGCCTTCAAGAGGATGGAAATTGATATAAAAATAGAGCACGTTTTTAACACCTAAGTCTATTGTATAGTAAGGATGAGTGTCTGTAACATGAAATACAATCTCTAATGTGACTGCAGGTTGCTGAGTTGGATGCAGAAATTAGAGTCAAATAGTAAGGATTGTGTTACGTAGGCTGTCAGATGAGGTAAGCATATAAGCCTGTAGTCTTAAGGTTAGGACTGTTGTGCAGGATCCTGGCTAAATTCAGAGTGGGTTCTGCTTGCATCCAGAACAGAATTGTAGCTTTGTGTGTGTTGCAGGACTGTAACACCACAGCATTGAACTGAGTACTGATAGTACGACAGTGGTCTCATACAGTGAGCATCTTACTGAGGTGAACTGGGAAGCCAGTCTAACCTGCATTACTTTATGATGTTATGTCTCCTTGCATTTAGGAATGAATTGTTTCCACATGCACTGAGCTGTTGCCAGTAGTCTTTTTATTAAGTAATGACCTTAAAAAGTAAAGCTTAGGTCTTTAATGTGGCTTCCCTTAGCGATTTAATGCTAGTGAGAAAAATCTTACATTTCACCAAAGCTACAAGTGTTCAGTTTCCAGCATCCTGGATAATTGATAGCTTGTCTGAAAAGAACCTGAGCAATTACTCGCTGTAGAAAAATGACTCTAAAGAACTTCTCTGTGTAACTGAAGGTAAAGGTGTTGAATCTGGACAATAAAACTTAGATCAAAGTAGCCAGTGGGAAAGGCTGTAAGAGGAGCAGATTGTCCTTTAAGCTCCACCATGTTGTGCAGGGTGTTACCTCTCTCCTCCTCTAATCGAATTTCACGAAGAAAGCAAAGCTATTCTTTCCTGTTGTAATTCTATCAGAGCCCTCTGCTAGATCAGCAGGAAAGCACCTGCCCTTCTTGCTTCAGATTTGGTAGATAGAACCCAGTCATTTTGATAGCAGTTAGTTAATCCATAACCAAAGTGTGCCCACAGCAACACCTGCCATGCAGGTGAGCTTTCAGACTTGTTAATGTATAAATATATATAGATTTTTGTATTAAACTCACACGCTTGCATGCCCAATAGTGATCATCATAAGTAGGAGAATTTAATAAAATGAGGTCATAAATGTCTAATGTTGCTTTTTGTTGGGCAATAAAATTGCCCATGTGTTGTAATTGAGGTCTGAAGTGAACTTGCTTGCTGGGGCCTCTTTAGGGTAGATTACAAAGACCAACAGAGTACATGCAAAATATTTTTCATGCTGTTTTTCTTTTTTTTCTCCCTTTTGGTCCACTAGCCTTTCCTTCTTAACTGTTTAGGGTTGGTACCCGTTGTAGTATCTACTGCCATCAAACTCAGTACTTTAAAATTAGGCATGCATTTGAAACATCTGCATGACTGAGACCCTCCACTGTGACTATTAAGCTTTTTGTCTCTGATGTTTTCCGAAGTCATTTATTCTCT